GCAGGCAGACCAGGCAGGCAAGGCAGGGCATACAGGCAGGCAGGGCAGCAGCAGGCAGACAGGCAGGCAGGCAGGTGCAGGCAGGCCAGAAGGCAGGTAGAACGCAGGTAGGTAGACAGGGCAGCAGACAGGCAGCAGGCAGGCAGGCAGGCAGGCAGGCAGACAGGCAGGCAGGCAGGGGGCAGGCAGGCAGGCAGCAGGCAGGGCAGGGCAGCAGGCAGGCAGGCAAGACAGGCAGGCAGACAGGCAGGCAGGCAGGCAGGCAGGCAAGGCACAGGCAGGCAGGCAGACAGGCAGGCAAAGATAGTGTATTCATGATGAGCTTTATATATTTGCCCATTTTCTGCATGATTATTACACCGTCAGCCAATCGCATTTCTCTTGTGAATACTAATGAGGCAAGCAAAATTCTCTCCGGCAATTTGTGTTGCAATTTAAACATATTGACCTTTTAGGCGAATAAACTATGCACATCGATCCTATCAATAGTAAAAGATGAAGAAAAAAATAATGATAATAATAATAATAATGATAACTATACAATGACGATACTATAAAATGATAACGATTATAATAATATTAATAATATAAACCCCGAGTGGTTGCCGGCGGGAATTAAACTGTGGATATAAAAAAGATTGCAATGTATAAATTCGCGAACCCATCCATTCCCATCGGGTGCCTGCGGTGTCAGGGCGTAGACAGTGAATAAACAATTTGGACGGTTTCATCAGCTGTGAAAACGAACGGGAGTTTAAAAAAAAAATGGCGGGAAAATTGAAATTACTGGTGGGCGGTTGAGTTTTTGGATTCGCGGGGTTAAATGACAAAAGGCTGTTTTGAGGGAAAACTGTTGCTGTTGTGCGGCCTGTTCGCTAATGTTTTTCTCTTATTTTATTTTTATGTCTTATTCTTCCTCTCACTCTCCACGCACCACGTCACTCACCTTCACTCCTCCACGATCACTCACTTTCACTCTCACGTCATCACTCACTGATCACTCATCACTCACTCACTCACTCCTCTCACCTTATCCCTCTTCCCCTCCCCCTCTCCCCATATACATATACATAACATATACTTACACATGCATACATATACAGACCTTTAATTTATTAACATTTTATATACTCAAAGACAGTCAAGAAACAAGAACTTTCCATTTTCCGAGATTCGACACACACTTACGCGCCAACAGTATTTCTCTCTTCTCTCTCTCTCCCTCCTTCTCTCTTTTTCTTTTCGAGGTTAAAAAGAGGTAATTTCTCGATGCAGAACGCTTACCTCATTTCTTGTTGAATAACTTCGGGGTTGGGTTTTGAAAGGCTCTTTTTTTTCTTTTTTTTCTCTTTCTTTCTTTTTGTTTCTGCGGGGTTTTGTTGGAGTCTTTTTGACTTGGGTCTTGGATGTTTCTTTGTTTCGCGTCTCTTTCATCGTTGTTTTTTTGTTTGTTTTGTTGTTGAATATTCTTTGTTTATTTTGCGGCGTGTGTGAGTTTGGGTTGTGTTGTGTGCTTGTACAATGCTGAAAAATAGAAAAAAACGAATATACTTATGTAGATATTTTTGCACACGCACGCACGCAAGCACGCACGCACGCACACACACACACACACACACACACACACACACACAACACACACACACACACACACACACACACACAACACACACACACACACACGCACACAACACACACACACACACACACAGAACACACACACCACTCACGACGCACGGCACTCACACGCACGCACTCAGCACTCACACGCACGGCACTCACTACGCATCGCAAGCACGCACTAACTCACACGCACGCACGCACGCACGCCCACACAAACACACAAGTACACTCATTAATGTTACTCGTAAATTAATACGCATATATTCTGCTTGCACTTTCCGCCCCTGCATGCCTCGCTCGTGCTTGTTGCCCCTTCTTCTCTATCCCTCCCTTTCCCCCTTCCCTCCCCCCTTCCTCCTCTCCTCTTTTCTCCTTGTCCTGCTCCTTCTCTCTCCCTCCTTCCCCTTCTTCTCCCTTTATCCCCCCTCTCTCTCCATCCTTCCACTCTCTCTTCCCCTCCCTGTCCCTCTCTCCCTCCTTCCTTCTCTCTCCCATCTCCTCTCCTCTCTCCCTCCTTCCCCTCTCCTCCCCTCCTCCCCTTCCCTCCCCCTCCCCCAACATAACCTCCGTGCGCCTTTCACCTCCTCCCTCCCCCCCCTCTCCCCAAGCGAGGTCAAACCTAACGACCACTCCTGCCTGACATCTGACCTTCTTGACTCTCTTGACACGTGACCCTTGTGGTGCATGACGAGCTCTGACGGGGGTGAGGGGGGTAGGGGATAGAGGGATTAAGGGGGGGGGGGGTCATTGTAGACTGGCAGCTTCTTCAGACACTAATTAAGGCTTGTTGATGAGCCTCCGCTGGCCCTAATGCGCATGTTGTGCATGTGTGTGTGTGTGTGTGTGTGTGTGTGTGTGTGTGTGTGTGTGTGTGTGTGCGTGTGTGTGTGTGTGTGTGTGTGTGTGTGTGTGTGTGTTGTGTGTTGTGTGTGTGTGTGAGTGTGTGTGTGTTGTGTGTGAGTGTGTGTGTGGTGTGTGTGTGTGTGTGTGTGTGGTTGTGTGTGTGTGTGTGTGTGTGTGTGTGTGTGTGTGTGTGTGTGTGTGTGTGGTTGTGTGTGTTGTGTGTTGTGCGCGTGTGTGTGTGTGTGGTGTGTGTGGTGTGTGTGTGTGTGTGTGTGTGTGTGTGTGTGTGTGTTGTGCGCGTGTGTGTTGTGTGTGTGTGTGTGTGTGTGTGTGTGTGTGTGTGTGTTGTGTGTGTGTGTGTGTGTGTGTGCGTTGTGTGTGTGTGTGTGTGTGTGTGGGTGTGTGTGTGTGTTGTGTGTGTGTGTGTGTGTGTGTGTGTGTGTGTGTGTGTCGGTCGGCGTCTCAGTCGCTCGGGTTTGTTCCTCTTGCGGTTTTCTCGTTTTTCTGCCACGGGCTTGGTTGGCTGGGGGGTTTTTTTCTTTCTTTCTTTCTTTTCTTTTCCTCTTTTTTTCTCTCTATGGTTTTATTTTTGTGTGTGTGGGGGGGCTTGGTTTTGATTTTGGGGCGGGGGAGGGGCTTTGTTTTGAGATTGCATTTTATTTATTGTTATGTATTTATTATTTTTGTGGGCGTTGTGGTTTTCTTTTCCGTTTTTCTTTTGTGTTATTCATCTTTATTTGTCTGTTTATTTTCGTCGTCATTTTCCTTTTTACTTATTATTTTTTCTCCTTCCTCTCCTCCTCCTCTTCTCCATTTCGCCCTCTTCTTTCCTCCATTCGCCCTCCTCCTCCACTTCCTCCTCTCCTCTTCTCCTCCTCCTCCTCCCCTCCTTCTCCTCCTCTCTCCTCCTCCCCCTCCCCTTCTCTCCCCTTCCTCCTTCCCTCCTCCTCCCCTCCCCCTCCCCCTCCTCCTCCTCCTCCCCCTCCCCCTCCTCCTCCTCCTCGCCCTCCCCTTCCTCCCCTCCTCTCCCCCCTACATCATTAACCATCCTCAACGTGTTTCCCCTTTTGGCGTAATTATCCAGGAAATGTTGAATGTCGTTTGGATAAAGTACTTCTTATATATGGACGAACTTGGGTAATAGTTCTGTGACTGTAACATTATCCTGTAATTGAGTGTGTGGTCTTCATTCTTAGTTGCTGTTTCCTCTCTTCCCTTTTCGTTCTCGTGATCGGTTGTTCTCTCCTCCTTCCCGTTCGTCGGTGATGTTCTCTGGATGTTGAGGGTGTTCTTTACCCTCACAATTCTTGTCTCTCTTTCTCTTTCTCTTCTTCTTCTTCTCTCTCTCTCTCTCTCTCTCTCTCTCTCTCTCTCTCTCTCTCTCTCTCTTCTCTCTCTCTCTCTCTCTCTCTCTCTCTCTCTCTCTCTCTCTCTCTCTCTTTCTTTCTTCTCTTTCTCATTTTTCTCTATCATTTTTCGATCTTCGCCTTCTCATTTTATTCTTTCTTCTCTCGGTCATTCACTCTATTTATTTTGTTCTCTCCGCCCTCACCCTTCCCCCCTCCTTCCTCACGCCCTTATTGCCTCCCCCTTCCCTCCTCCCTCCTCATAACCTCACCATCAATTTACTCACCCACCTTACCCATCCGCTTATCCACCCACCTTACCCACCTCTTTATCCACCCTGTCGTTATCTGGGCGAGTCACGTGACTGGTGAAACGAGAAGGGTTTTCCTCAATCATCCGTTTTCCTTCCGATTACCAGCAGACCATTATGCTCGGCGCAGACCGTTTCCGCATTCGGTCTTCGTCTTTGGTCTTTTCCTCCGCATTCGGTCCTCGGCTTCTCGGTCTGTATTCGGTCCTCGGCTTCGGTATTTCGGTCTGTATTCGGTCCTCGGCTTCGGTATTTCGGTCTGTATCCTCGGCTTTCGGTATTTCGGTCTTGTATTCGGTCCTCGGCTTCAATCTTTTCTTTCCGCATTCGTCTTCGCCTTTGGTCTTTTCCCTCCGCATTCGGTCCGTCTCGGCTTCGTATTTCGGTCTGTATTCGGTCCTCTGGCTTCGGTGTATTTCGGTCCCTGTATATCGGTCCTCGGCTTCGGTATTTCGGTCCTGTATTCGGTCCTCGCTTCAATACTTTCCTTTCCGCATTCGGTCTTCGCCTTTGGTCTTTCCTCCGCATCGTCCGGTCCTCGGCTTCGGGGTTATTTCGGTCTTATTCGTCCTCGGCTTCGATCTTTTCTTTCCTCATTCGGCTCTTCGCCTTGGTCTTTTCCTCATTCGGTCCCGCATCGGTCCGGTCATTCGGTCTCGGCTTCGGTATTTCGGTCTGTATTCGGTTCCTCTGCTGGCTTCGGTATTTCGGTCTGTTTCGGTCCTCGGCTTCAAATCTTTTCCTTCCGCAATCGGTCCTCTCGGCTTCGGTATTTCGGTCTGTTTTTCTCCGGCTTCGATCTTTTCTTTCCGCATCGGTCTTCGTCCTTGTCTTTTCCTCCGCATTCGGTCCTCGGCTTCCGGTCTTCGGGTTTCGGTTATTCGTCCTCGGCTTCAATCTTTTCCTTCCGCATTCGGTCTTCGTCCTTGGTCTTTTCCTCCGCATTCGGTCCTCGGCTTCGGTCTTTCGGTCCATTCGGCTCGCTCGGGCTTCGTGATTTTCTTTCCGCATTCGGTTTCTTCGTCCTTGGTCTTTTCCTCCGCATATCGTCCTGCTCGGATTTTCGGGTCCGCCGCTGCGGGTTCTTTGACGTGCTTTTTGCGTGTGAGGAGGATCCCCCACTATGCTCTGTCTGTTTTCGGTCCAGGACTTCACTCCTCGCCTCTTCTTTAGTTGTCTTTGCGCTTTCTCTCCCTCTGTCTCTCCCTACCTCTCTCTTTCTCTCTCTGTTTCTCTCTTTCTCTTTCTTTCTCTTTCTCTCTCTCTCTCTCTCTCTCTCTCTCTCTCTCTCTTTCTCTCTCTCTCTCTCTCTCTCTCTCTCTCTCTCTCTCTCTCTCTCTCTCTTCCTCTCTCTCTCTCTCTCTCTCTCTCTCTCTCTCTCTCTCTCTCTCTCTCTCTCTCTCTCTCTCTCTCTCTCTCTCTCTCTCTCTCTCTCTCTCTCTCTCTCTCTCTCTTATAATTTTCTTCTTTTCCTTCCCTTTCTCTCTCACAGCTCTCTTTTCAGCTCTCTTTTTCAAGGTTTCTCTCTCTCATAATTTTACTGACTTTTCTTTCCCCTCTTTTACTGCTGGTTTATTGATCCTTTTCGTTCTTCTCTCCCTCTTTCTCTTCCCCTTTTCGCTCTCACTTTTTTCTGTTATTTCATTACTTTGGTCCTTTCCTTTTCTAACATTTGTCCATCTCTCGCTTTGTTTTCTTCTTTTCCTTCTTTCTTTCTATTTGTCTCTACATCTCTTCCTCCACTTTCTTCCTATATTTTTTCTTCTTTCCGCTTCTCCTCCTTGTTATCCCGTTTTCCACCTTTTTCTTTTCTTTTCGCCCTCTCTTACCTTCTCGTTCTCGTTCGTCTCCTCATCCTATTTCTCCTTCTCCTTATTTTTATCCTTTTTCCTCACTTTCTCTTTCTTCTCCCTTCTCCTTTTTTCTTCTACGCCTTCTCTGTGTCCTGCTTCTTCACTTCCTCTTCCTCCGTTTTTCCGTTTTCTTTTTCTCTTTTTCTTCTTCCTCCTTCCTCTTCTGCTTCCTCCTCCTCATCATCATCTCCCCCTTTCTTCCTCCTCCTCTTCCCCCTTTCTCCTATCCTACCTCTTCCTCCTCCTCCTCTTCCTCTTCCTCCTCCTCTCCTCCTCCTCCTCCTCCTCCTCTTCCTCCCCCTCCTCCTCCTCCTCCCCCCCCTCTCCCCCTCTCGCCCCTCAGCTGTTGTTTCCCTTTCTACTCCTTTCCTCCTCTCCTTCTCCTTCTCAACTGCTGCTCTTCCTCCTGCTCCTCCTCCCCCCCTTCTTCCTCCTTCACCCCTCAGCTTCTACTCCTACTTCTCCTCTTCCTCCTTCTCCACCTTATCATCATCATCGTCCCCCCCTTCCCCCTCTCACCCCCTCAACGACACTCCTCTCCTCCTCCTCCTCCTCCTTCTCCTCCTCCTCCTCTTCCTCCCCCTCCTCTCCTCCTCCCCCCCCTTCCCCCTCTCGCCCCTCAGCTGTTGTTCCTCTACTCCTCTTCCTCCTCCCCTTCTCCTCTCAACGCTGCTGCTCCTTCCTCTGCTTCTCTCCTCCCTCCCCCTTCTTCCTCCTCTCACCCCTCAGCTTCTACTCCTACTTCTCCTCTTCCTCCTTCTCCACCTTATCATCATCAGTCCCCCCCTTCCCCCTCTCACCCCTCAACGACTCCTTCCTCCTCCTCCTCCTCCTCCTCCTCCTCCTCCTCCTCCTCTCCTCCTCTTCCTCCTCCTCTCCTCCTCCTCGTTCCCCTTCCTCCTCGGAATGACAGTACAACCTCCTTCCAGTAGCCTTGAGGTGCTTCATGTATACAAAAGACTCCAGTAATATTTCCTTCGTTTTTTTCTCTTCTTTTTTTCTTCTCGTTGGTTCAGAACCTGTGTGATTAGTTTTAGTGTTATTGTTATTGTTGTTGTGCTTTGTTGTTGTTGAAATTGTCCTCTGGTAATTGCAAGGATAGGGATGAATAACATGTATTACCTTCGATATCAGTCTACGTGTGTTATTAGGATGGTTATTGTAGTTGTTATGTTGGGTTGTATCTTTTATGGCTTTTGGGTAATGGCAGGGTTGATGATTAGTTATGAATATTTGAACAGTTGATGTACGAGTGTTGTTGCTGCTGTCTTTGTAGCTGTTGTTATTGTTGTTGTTTGATACTGTTTTTTCGAGCTTTTGTTATTATTGTTGTTTGATACTGTTCTTTCCAGCCTTGTTTTCCTTTTACAACTCTTCCTCTTCGCTTTGTACTTCCTCTTCCTCTTCCTCTTCGCTTTGTACTTCCTCTTCCTCTTCCTCTTCGCTTTGTACTTCCTCTTCTCCTCTTCTCTTCGCTTTGTACTTCCTCTTCCTCTTCCTTTTTCTTCTTCTTTCCTCTTCCCTCTTCCTTCATTTTTATCTTCAGTTTCGCTTTCTTTTTCCTACCCCCTTCCTCCTTTATCTTCCCTATCCCTTTCTCTTTCCTTTTTGTTTTCCCCACAGTCCTGCCATTTGATCTTCCCTTTCCCTTTGTCTTTCTCTTAGCCCATCCCCATTCTCCCTCTTTCCTATTTCTCTCGCATTTCTCTCTCCCTCCCCCTTCTACTTCCTATTCTTCATCTTATTCCCCTTTCCCTCTCCCCTCATTTTCTTCTCCCCCTTCCCCTTGCCTTTTCTAATCTCCCCTTCTGCTTCCTTTCTTTACTTGACTTTTCCCCTACCCTCCCCTTTCCCTTAATCCTTCCCTTCCCCTCCCTCACTATTCCCCCTACCCTCCATTACCCCTTTTCTACCCTCCTTTCCCCTCCCTCCCCTCCACTCTATCTTCCTCCTTCACTTCCTTTTGTATCACCCACCTCCTTATTCTCCACTTCCTTCTGGTTTGCCTCCTCTTGTCTCTCCTTTACCCCTTCTCCTTCCCTCCTCTTCCCCCTTTCATTCCCTCCTCTACCCCCTCTCCTTCCCTCCTTTCCCCCTCTCCTTCCCTCCTCATCCCTCTCCTTCCCTCCTCTTCCTCCCTCTCATTCCCTCCTCTTCCCCCCTCTCCTTCCCTCCTCTACCCCCTCTCCTTCCCTCCTCTCCCCTCTCCTTCCCTTCCTCTATCCCTCTCCTTCCCTCCTCCCTCCTTCCTCCTCTCCCTTCATTTCTGCTTGTTTGATGCCTTTGTCTCGACCTTAGGCTTACGTGTCGCGGAGCCCACTCTCGTCTTGTGACTTACGATTATGCATCTTGAAAAAAAAGTGAATAAAAAAATAAAAAAATAAAAATAAAAAAATGTGGAAAGCTGGACTCGAGAGCACACTTAACCCTGTGAGTTCGTGGAGGGATGGAAACAAAGGGCGAGACAGGGAGGAAGGGAGGGAGGGAGGAGAAGGGGAGGAAGGAGGGACGGAGGGAGGAGGGGAGGAGGGAGGGAGAAGAGGGAAGGGGGAGATAAGGAGGGAGGGAGAAGGAGTTGATGGAATGGGGAGGAAGGAGGGAGAAAAGAGGGGAGGGGATGAGAGAGGGTGAAGAAGGAAGGGGAGATAAGAAGGGTGGGAGAAGGAGATGGGGGGGAGAGAGTGGAGATGGAAGGAGGGAGAAGAAGGGAAGGAAGGTGGGACGGAAAAAGGTAAGGAGGAGGAAGGGAGAGGAAGGTAAGGGAGATAAGAAGGGAGGGAGAAGGAGGTGATGGAATGGGGAAGAAGTGGAGATACAAGGGGGATGGGGGAAGGAGGGAAGGAGGGAGGGAGAGATTGAAAGGCAGGGCGAGAGAAGATCGGGAGACGCAGGGAGACGGAAAGGGTGAGGGAGAGAGACATAGGTAAGAGGTAGGAAAGGAAGGGAAGAAATGGAATGGGAGGGTGTGGGAAAGGGAGAAGGATAGGCAGGGAGAGGGAGGGGAAGAGGGAGAGAGGTAAAGAGGAGACAGAAGGAAATGAAAAGGGAGTTTGAAGAGGGAGGAGAGAGAAAGGAAGAAGAGGGGAAGATATGGAAGGGGAGAGGAAGGAGAGGTGGAAAGGAAGGGATGAAGGGGGAGAGATGGAAAGGAAAGGGAGGAGGGAGATGGAAAAGGAGAAGAAAAGAAGTAAAGGAAGAGAGAGAGCGTTGTAATAAAAAGGAAGTAGAGTAGATCTTAAAGGAGAGGGCAATAGAGGGAGGCGAAAGAGAGAGAAAGAGAGATGTAAAGAGTGAAGGGAAGATATGAAAAGGAAAGAGATATAAAGTGAGAGGAAAATAGGGGCTAGAAAGCACAGGATATGGAATAAGCGAACGAAGGAAATAAAAAGAAAAAGAGAAATGAAAAAGAGAAAGAGAAACAGTTTCAAATTCAGAATAGAACATACGATAATGAGACAGACCACTGAATTGAATAAAAAAAATGCACCAACGCACGAATTAACGAAGGGGGCAAAATGGTGATAAATTTAGATACAAATGGCAGGCCGAAAATTGATATGTACATTAACGTTTTGCATACTGATGCCCCCGTGTAATTTATACGAGCTTGTATTCATCGAAAGGGGAATAGTTGCATTCACTAATTATTATTTCTTCAATAGGGTATCTCACTTTGTTAATTAAACTCGCGTTTATTTTATTTCCGCTAATTAAATAAGCTACGTTTATTACTCTACCCTTCTAATTTTTTATTACGTTTCATTAATCTCTTCTCATTACTGAAACCTGATGAATTCTGTGAATGCTATCTCGCTTTAATGAATTTTGTGTATTGACTTGTATTGTCACAATAGACTTGAGTGACTACACTTAATTATTCGGATGATAATGCAGCAATCGTAATATAAAATAACTCTCTCTACAATAAAGTTTATGAAATTGCATCTCTATGACGATGATTTATATATATATATATAATATATATTTTTTTTTACTTTCAGGTATGTGTCTCATCTTTACTTTGATGGACGTGGTTGGTAAGTGGTAAAAAATGGTTCCTTGAATAGTTTCTTTTCACTGTATGGTATTTCTTTGGTTGAAGAAAGAAGGACAGAGGGAAGGGAAAAAGACAGTTGGTAAATAGTATAATTCGGTCCCTTTAATAACAGCTTCGTTTCACCGTATGATATTTCTTTGGTTGAAGAAAGGAAGGAGAGAAAGAAAGGAAGAGAAATAAACAGTTAAAGGTAATATTAAGATAGGGTAGAGAAATTTACTTTATATACTTACATTAGTTATTACTTAAATACTTACATTAGTTATTTACTTTACTTACTTTACTTATTTATTGACTAAATGCGGTGTCATATCGTTCAGGACGTCAGCAATAGTGCCATTACTCTGTATATCTTTTGGTTGTTGTATGAGGTATGCAGTTTGCGGCTTGTCCTTTGCGAATTCTTGCTAGAGCATTCGTAGATTTTTTTTCTTTGTATACTTCTCGCTCTTGTAATTTTAATGATTTCACCTCTTTTTTCTTCCTCTTCCAACTCTTCTCCTTCTTCTTCTTCTTCTTCACCTCCTCTTCCCCCTCCTCCCCCTCCTCCACTTCTTTGACTTTCTCCTTTTCATCCTTATCCTCCTCTTCCTTCCCCTCCTCCCCCTCCTCCACCTCTTTGACCTTCTCCTTCTCATCCTTATTATTATTATTATCCTCCTCCTCCTCCTCCTCCTCCTCCTCCTCCTCCTCCTCCTCCTCCTCCTCCTCCTCCTTTTGCTCGTCCTTCCTCTCGAGATTTTCTGTTATGAAAAGTCTACGGTGTTATTTTGCCACATTTCACTACAAACGTTCTCAGAATCGGTTGAATAGTCTTCAGAAAAATATTTTTTTTCTTTGATGCTCATTTGTATAGAAGTGTTAAAGCATTATTTGGGAGCCTTTCGCTGATTCTCATTGCGTTGGTCGATTTGTTTACATCACGGATTGCTGTGATATTATCTTACCGTCCACCTGTATGGTAATTATCTGTATGTCATGTTAGTTGACCTGTTGCGTTTCTTCCCTCATCCGGGAACCTAAGCCTTTTTCGATCGCTTTCCTTAAGCACTTTGGCCCTCCCCTTTACCTTCTGTTTTTTCCTTTCCCTCTTTTCGTTCCCCCTTCCGGTCTTCCTTCCGTTTTCGTCTTTTCCTTTTTTTTTTTTTTTCTTTCTTCGCCTTTTTTCCTTTTCCCCCTCTCTTTCCTTCTTTTCTAAGCCCCCCCTCTCTTTCTTCTCCCCCTTTCCCTCCTCTCCCCACCACCTCTCTCTCTCTTCTCTCTCTCTCTCTCTCTCTCTCTCTCTCTCTCTCTCTCTCCTCTCTCTCTCTTCTCCCTCTCTCTCCCTCTCCTCTCTCCCTCTCCTCTCCCTTCTCTCCCTCTCCCTCTCCTCTCCTCTCCCTCTCCCTCCTCACCTCCGTTTCCTCTCTATACCCCTCCTACTCTCCCTCTCCTCTCCTCCTCTCCTCCTCTCCTCCTCCAGTTTTCCCTAATCACTTAGTCTCCCTTTCTTTTGTGGCCCAAGTTCCTCCTTAATGCCGCGGATATTGACGGCTTCTCTGGGGTCACCCGGGATCTAATTGCGCCGTGTCCCCCCCCCTCCTCATTTCCTTCTCTCTCCTTACCCATCCTAATCTCTCCTCCCTGCTCTCTTCCTCTGTTTCTCTGCCTTGCTTTCCTTCTATTCTTCTTCTTTTCCTCCTGTCTCCTATTTTCCCTTACTCTTCCTAATCTTCCTCTCCTCCTCTTCCTCTTCTTCCTCTCCTCCTCTTCCTCTTCTTCCTTCTCCTTCTCTTCTCCTTCTCCTCTTCCCCTTCCCTTCCCTTTCCCCTTCTCCCTCCTCTTTCCCTCGTTTCCCTTCCATTTCCTTTTCCCCTTCCCCTTCCTCCCCTTCTCTCTCGTCCTTCCCTTCTCTCCTTCTCCCCTTCCCCTCCCTCTGTGCGTGCTGAGACGGTAATAATGTTAACTGTCACACCCCATTAACCAACTCTCAGGACGCTGAATAAGGGGCGTGGTGGGGGGGGGATGAAGGTGGGCGGGGCGAGGAGGGGTGGGAGGAGGAAGGAGGTGGGGGGGTGAAGGGGTTAGAGAGAGGGGGGGGTCAGGAATGTTGCAAGGTCACGCGCGTTGCGAGAGGAAGCGTTGCAAGGAGAATGGCACGAAAAGGGGGCGTGAATTCCTCGTGTTTATGTGCAGAGAGAGAGAAACATGCAGAGTTGTGTGTTGGTATTTATGCATGGCCGTAGAAGTGGACGAACATGCGTACACACGCACGTACACACGCAAACACTCATACTCCTCTCTCATTCACCTACACACTCACATAAACACTCATACTCCTCTCTCATTCACACGCGCTCAGACACTCACACGCATACGAATGTTAGTGATAAAAGTACACCTACGAATACAAACATAACGATTACATACATATTCACATACACGAAAACAAACAAACAAACACATGAAGGTATGTGCACAATTAGATGGAAATGAGAATCACAAGAGAATCGGAATAGAAAATGACGTTTCGAACACGCCAGTTGTTCCTTATCAGCCATAACAAGCAGAATTTTGAATTTGGCTTCTGAATCGTCTGATGAGGAACTGTTGGCTGTTCGAAACGTTACATTTTATTCCGGTCCTATCGTGGATGTATTTTTTATTGTATTACTGTTCACGTATGTGTGTATGTGTGTGTTATATGTATATATGTGTGTGTATGTGTATGTGGTATATGTATTGTATATATATATATATATATATAATTATATATATATATATTATATATATATATATATATATATATATATATATTATATATATATATATATATATATATATATATATATATATATACATTGAATATAGGGAGGGATTGGGAGATTGAGAGAGAAAGAGGAGAGAGGAAAGAGAAAAGAGGAGAGAATGAGAGAGGAAAGAGGATAGAATGAGAGAGGAAAGAGAAGAGAGTGAGTGAGGAAAGAGGATAGAATGAGAGAGGAAAGAGGAGGGAGTGAGTGAGGAAAGAGGAGAATAGAGAGGAAGAGAGGAGTGAGTGAGGAAAGAGGATAGAATGAGAGAGGAAGAGAGGGAGTGAGTGAGAGGGATAGAATGAGAGAGGAGAGGAGAAGATGAGGAGAGGAGAGATTGAGAGAGGAGAAAGTGGAGAGAGAGAGTGAGTGACCGATTGAGTAGTGATTTGAGTGAGTGTGTGTGTGTATGTGTGTGGTGTGTGTGTGTGTGTGTGTGTGTGTGTGTGTGTTGTGTGTGTGTGTGTGTGTGTGTGTGTGTGTGTGTGTGTGTGAGAGAGGAGAGAGAGAGAGAGAGGAGAGAGAGAGAGAGAGAGAGAGAGAGAGAGAGAGAGAGAGAAAGAAAGAAAGAAAGAAAGAAAGAAAGAAAGAAAGAGTGACGAAAGGCTAGACTATATGATATAAGATATATGAAATATTAATATATAATACAAGATACATGAGAATATAAACATTCACACCCCGAGATAATGTCTTTTCCTATTTTCGCTCTTAAGGCGTTCGATCCGAGGTGCTGATTTGCCCGCGCGTGGACGAACGTTGCGGAAACTATCGCTCAAAGTCCTCTTCGGCGCGCGCTGAATCAAAGGCCTAACGCTGGACGATACATTCTGGGAACGAGAAAAAAATATTGACGAATATTGGGAGCTTGTGTCGCTCGTCGTTCCGGTTCAGTGGACGCGAAATCCTGCGAGCCTTGGGTTGGTGTTTTCGTGTCGCGTGGTGCTTTTGGCTTGCGTCTGGTTTGCTTTTGGCTTGCGTCTGGTTTGCTTTTGGCTTGCGTCTGGTTTGCTTTTGGCTTGCGTCTGGTTTGGGGTGGGTTGCTTTTGGGTTGCGTTTGGTTTTGCGTCTGGTTTGGGGTGGCTTGTTTTTGGGTTGCGTCTGGTTTGGGTGGGTTGCTTTTGGGTTGCGTCTGGTTTGCTTTTGGGTTTGCGTGGTTGCGGTGGATTGCGTTTGGTTTGCTTTTGGTTTCCGGTGGCTTGCTTTTGGGTTGCGTTGGCTTGTTTTTAGGTTGAGTCTGGTTTGCGGTGGCTTGCTTTTCGTTTGATTTTAGTTTGCGGTGGCTTGCGTTTGGTTTGCGGTGGCTTGCATTTGGATTGCGTTGGTTTGCTTTTGCTTTGCTTTGGCTTGGTTTGGGTTTGCTTTTAACTTATGTTTGGTTTGATTTGGGCTTGTTTTTGGTGTGCTGTTGCTTGCTTTTGGTTCGCGTTGGCTTGCTATCGGATTGCTTTTGGCCTAATTTTGTTTTTTGTTGGCTTGCTTTTGGTTTTGATTTGCTTTGGTTTGCATTGGCTAGCTTTTGGTTTGCTTTGGCTTGCCTTTAGTTTTCGTTTGCTTGGTTTGGTATTGCTTTAGAGTCGATTTTCCTTTGGCTTTGCAATGGCTAACGATGGAGGAGAAACGGAAATCCGCACCTTTTTGGTTGTTGTAGTTTTCATTGTTTTTATTAGTTACCGTGTTTTTTTGTTTGTTATTCATTATTTTATTATATTATTATTATATTATTATTATTATTATTATATTATTATTATTATTATTATTATTATTATTATTTTTATTATTATTATATTATTATTATTATTATTATTATTTATTATTATTATTATTGCTGGATTTATATTGATCCATTTAGTAGTTCTTTTCTCTTATATTACCGAATGAATGTATTTATTAGTTACTTTATCCTGATATAACTGTTTTTTTTTATTTGTCTGTGAATTCACTATATATTTATTTTTCCAGTTTCATTGTTCTAAATATTATAGAGAAAAAAGTGCCGTGAAATTATGCGAAAGGGGAGATAAGAGGATAGAAATACAAAAGAAGAAAAACTTTCATAAGATAAGAGAAAGTGAGAAAAAATGAAGAAAGATGTATGCAGAAATGCAAACGAAAGGAGGGCATGGAAAGGAACGAGGGAGAGGAGGAGGGAAAAAGAACAAGGGATTTTTTTTC